CACTGCATAAATCAAATGACACTAGGTTCTGGTGAGTGACAAAACAGATAACACTAACATATTTCAGGACTTCCCCAAGGCAAACTGTTTGTGGCTTTAGGCATGTAGTTATCACGGAATTATCTGTGAGATTAATCGTTGAGTCCCGTTTTCAGTCACCCTGCTGGGGCTTCTGTCAAACAAAGCACGAAAGTAAATTTGCTGCTTAAAGAAAAATATCCAGCCATATTTCAGCAGAGAGAAAGGTCATGTCACAACGACAGACGATCTTTGTGGATATTAAGACTAAGCTGGACAAAGAGAGCTAAACCAAGGGAGGCTGTTTGAACTGCAGATAACATTTATGTTTTGGACATCAACCTATGAAGTCTTGAGATGCAAGACTTGTGGGAGAGAAATTGATGAGAAAAAAAATTAAGCCCCCAGCCAACAGGAAAATTATCAACAGTATCAAAGAGAGCAATTGACAAATAAATTAGTAAATAAAAAATCCAAAAGGTATTCTAAAAGCATATCACTTTGCCAGTTAGGAATCGAGGCCTATGTTTTGAATTTTCTATCATTTCGTTTGCAGAATGATTTGGAAGCGGGATTATTGTACTGAAATATAATGCTGGATTGAGAAAAGCCCATTTCAAAAGGGAATGGTTAATTGGAAGGAAGGGCTGGTCCTGTCGGCCTTTAGGTAGCCAGCTCTGGAGTGTGAGTAACAGACCTCCTGGATGTGGCTGGAGAATTCTGGGTGACTCAACAAGTTGGCCAGGTCTCCAGGGTCCAAGTGACATGGCCATCAGGCAAGGACTCAATGGGCTCAGTTATTGTGCTTCCTAGGGGCCTCCAGTGGCCCCAGGGCAAATGTGTCCTGGTCTTGGGGCATTCTCCAACAGTGGGGAAACAGACTCTGAAAAATGCATCCTCCACAATAAGTCCCCTTTCTCAATCAGGGAAAGTGAACTCACACCCACCCCGGCAGCAGCGTATCTCAATGCTCTCAACCCGGGACATCTGGCTGGCCAGGGGCCCAGCTGAGGAAGTCACCTCTGCCCTCAGGACTGCATCTGCCCAGGATCAGAGCTTCCTGAGAGGACACTGGGATGGAGTCACATCCTGACTCCACTCCAGGGCTGAGCAGGAGCACACAGGGACTGTGGGAAGCCTGTCCCTCTGGCAGAATCGGGGCTGTTGAGTCAGCATCTTACACAGAGCAGGACGTCAGTGAATATTTCACAAGTGAGAGAACCTGGTGGCAGATGAGGATCTCTGCTCTCCAAGTCCCAGCTGGAGCTTCACACCAATGGAGCTACATGCACTTCCCTGGGTTGGTCCCACGGACCCCGTGCACTTCCAGCTGCCCCACTCTGGATGACGGAAACACCCTTCCTCTTCCACTCTGGCACGTGGCTACTTGCAGGCCACCTCACCAGCGATGTCTCCTAGGTGGCTGCTCTACCCAACGTATCCTGCCCAGGATCCTCTTACAACCCGTTTTACGAGCCCCAGGGACTTGAGCATCTTGCTCACCAGTCTGTGAGCAAAGTTCCAGAGCTCAGAGGCACTAGGTGCTGTGCATCAGGAATGATCCTACAACGTGTTACACAGAACTGACTCYGGGCCGTGTTAGAGGATAACAGTGTGCTCTCAGGGTAAGTAGGGCACTATCCCCATTTTACAGATGAGGCGCCACAAGGTTGAGCAATTAGCTGAAGGCGTCCTTGCTAGTAAGTCATGTGTTCAGTGCCAGTCCCTCCTCTAAATCAGGTCATCCCAGATGAGCGAAGGAGGGAGGGAAAAAGGAAGCATGTGGGAATGAAATGGAGTAAACCATGTTATGCGCACGTATGAACGTCACAATGAACTATCATGTGTTATTATCAATCACTAATAGCACAGAAAGGTCATCCTAATATGGAACTGGTGAACCTATCACCTTGCATGCCACAGAAGACCTGGAAAACAAGTTAAAAATCTTGAGAAGGGGAGAGAATCCTGGATGACCTGGGGGACCCAGTGTGATCCCAAGAGTCCTCATACAAGTGAGGTAGGAGGATCAGAGTCAGACAAAGAAATGAGACAACAGACGCAGAGGTCAGCGGACAGACAGTTACAGATGCTGCGTCAGGGCCCTGAAGATGGAAGGAGGGGCCATGGGCCAAGGAATGCAGGTGGCCTCTGCAGGCCGGAGGAGGCGGGAAACAGCTGTCCCTGGAGTTTCCAGGAGCAGCGCTGCACTGCCCTCACCTTGATTTTAGGATTCCTAATCTCCAGAAATGTAAGGTGGTAGATCTGTGCTGTCCTAAGCCACTGGGGTTGTGGACATTCATTTACAGCAGTTACATTAGTTTACATGGTGCCCTTCACCTGGAGAACTGGGCAGCCCCGCCAACGTGTCAGGAGAGGGTCACACTGCACTTGCAAGGGAGTGTTAAAGGCCCATTCCAAGAAGCCCCTGGCACCGAAGGCCACAGCTGGTGGTGGTCCTCCATTTTCTTGGCTCTCCTGGGGAGGTTACTTGGTGATTTGTACAGAGGAGGGGCTGGAAGAGGGACCTTAAAACCAGGGAGTTCTGTGCCTGGGGCAGGTCTCCAAACCTGGTCCATGTGATGTGTTTGGTGCTTTGTGCACTGAACCACTCTTGGCAAACCCCACCGTGGCCAGGCAAAGGTCTGCCCAGCTACCAGCAGGAGGGTGGGCCGGAGCGAGCAGAGCTAAGCTGGAGGGGGCCGGAGGAAGCCCCCTGCCCAGGGAGCTGGTACAACTTTCAGGGCAGCCTCTGTCCTCAGCCTTGGCTGCCAGGATGATGACTTTAAGCAGTAACTTCTCATGGCTCTCACTTCAGCGAAGCCCATCTGTGGGTAAGGCGGTAAGGCTGTCTGTCTGTCTGTCTGCCTGTCTGCCTGGCTCCTTCTCTCCATGGCCAGGCAGCTGGGGAAGGATTAGTCTGATGAGATAATAAATACCAGCCTTGGTCACCACGACCCAAGGGCACACGGCCAGCTGAGTCACACGATGCAGCRGTTCAGAGAGAGCCGCGGAGTCCCATCTGACCTCACTGTGGAAACGGGGCCAGGYGTTACGTCACGCAGGGCATGGAAGAGCATGCTCCACTCCAGAGCTCCGAGGGCTGCGTGTGCTCTGGCCACGGAATGCTCCTGGGAAGGGAGCACAGAACGGCCCTTGTAACTCAAGAAGGGAGATTACTGACTGCAGAGGGCTGGGGCAGATGGCCGTGGGTGATGCTGGAGGCCAGGAGGCTTGGGCCTGCAGCAGCCGCCACTGTCTCAAAGTGACCTTCCTCGCCAACAAGGTGTCTGGAGTCACTGAACCATTCAGAGCCCTATGGCCACGTGGCACGGTGTGGCGAGTGCCTCTCAGTGCTTGCCATGACAACGAGGGCGCCCACCCTTGTGTGGAGAACCTCAGGGCTGCCCATGAAGGGGCCAGCTGAAGGCAGCTCAGGGTCCAAGGATGAAGCACTGAGGCCAGAAACTGCAGGCCTCATTCCGCCTGCACGAGCAGGTCCATGAGTGAGGGTCGCCRTGTCCAGCCTGCTCTTTCTTCAGCCTCAGAAGTGCCAAGTGCAGAGGGGCGTATCGGCTGGCCGGGGCATCGGGCTCCATGGGGACCCAGCTCCGGCAGACCTCCGTGGCTGGTCACTGCTTCCACACATCACATTGAAAATCTTCTGTGYTTCGTCACCAGTTTCGGCTCCAGGTTACTTCCCTCATCACCCCTGAAACCAGAACCTCACAGAGGCGCCTGACAGAGATCTGGGTCAGTGTCCCTCCTGCTAGAGCTGCTGTCTGAGCATGCTTGGCTTGTGGCGTGAGCCTGGCTGACCACAGTAGCCTTGCCATCACTGGGGCCTCTGGCCAGGACTGAGGTCATCTCTGGCCAATGGGARGAGGGAGCTGGCAAGGCGAGGGAGAATTACAAGATGCTGAGAAAACCTCCGCTTAGGATTCTCAGCTGGAATTCTGAGCTGGAGATAGGCAGTAAAACCCAAATGGCAGACCAGGGCCGAGGTGCCTGGGCCCTGCGGGGCCCTGGATCTGCACCCTGGGGTGGAGCAGTGTAGGGGACACAGGCAGGGTGCTGGCTCCACCGTGTCCATCCAGGCTCTGTTTCCTCTGAAAGCCTCAGTGGGACTGTGGACCAAGACCTCACTTGCTCCTTGGGCGACTGTGCACCGTGGGAGTCACACCTGCACACCGGGTTACCACGGTGGGGCTCCAGTTCCAGTCACGTGTCCCTAGGAAGCTGGCTTCCCACCCCAGAGCTTGAGCCCTTTCTGAGGGCTTATTGGAGGGTCAGAAGGGACAGATAGRCTAGTGCCCAGCTGAGGATGCCACTCTAGGATCTGCTGGACAGGGCACTGTGGCAGCCGTGTCCTGGCCACATGGGTGCCTTTTCTAGAACACACATCAAGCCCATCAGACTCCTTCACATCCAATGGCATCCCAGGCCCTCGCACTCCKGCCTCATGTCCCCCATTAGGGCCTGGTGCCCAGCCTCCCCCCTGCTGGCCCTTCCACATCACAGGCTCCCATCTGAGTGCTCCTGTACTTCCTGGTCATAGACCCTCTGGAGCACCAGGTCCCCCTGGGGGCCCTCCAGATGCAGTGGCTCTCCCCTTGGCACCCTCAGACCTGGGTTGGCAGCCTTGTTAGGGCATGAAGCATCCCCACCATCTGAGTGGTGGTGAAAAGTTCTGTCTGTCCGTCTGTCCTACTCAGTACCTGTGGTRTCCTGGCTGACCCATCTCTGTCACCCCATGGAGCACACAGTAGGTGTTCATGCCTCTCTTGTTAGACTGCACTGAGCTCCTTGGGTGGTGGCCAGTTCGCCCACTTCATCTCAGCATGTTCCCAGCCCCTTCCCGGGGGGCAGCTGCTCCCAACAGGATGGAATGGTTGTTTTGTGGGCGGTTCCTCCAGGAACAAGGACTTAGGAGCAGACCACAATCCCCAACACCCAGTGTCAAGCTGGTGGCAGCCACCTACCTGGTCCCCAGAGTGTGACACACTGCTGCTCGTGGGTCTGGCAGATGCCATTGTAGCAGTAGCCATCCACCCCCTGACACGGGTGTCCGTCGTGCAGGTACACGTTGGCCGGGCAGTGAGGACTGGCTCCTGTGCAGAACTCCGGGAGGTCACAGGAGTTGCCCGAACCCCGGCACGCGGTCCCCGCAGGCTTCAGCTGAAAGGAGAGGGTGGCTCAGTGCATGTACACAGAGGGCAGAGGAGAGCAAGGCCGTCTGAATACAGCCTACATGAAGGGGCAAGGACCTAGAAAGAAGATGCTTTTATAGCAGAGAGCACTCAAAGCCMAGCCCTGGGCTCTGGGATTGACCTCTCTGCCATAAGGGGGTGGGGCAACCAAGAGCAATGCATTTTTAATTGCAGGCAAGTAATGAGCACACAAGCTGCTGGGTGGCACCTGTCACCTCAGGTCACTGGGCAGGTAGATTCTTCTCTGGTTGCCAGCACCTTCCCCAGGTTGAAGTTGACATYGGCATCCAAAGTGTTGGCATTTGTGGGCAAGTTGACATAAATRGTTCCAAGAGCATAATCTAAATGGCAATGTCACCTTGTCATGAAGTCATGGGACTAGCAACCTCCCTTTAGCACTTACTGGGGAGGGCTGGAGAGGTAAAAAGAGGGCGTGGTAAAAGGYATCAGAATGCCTCTGACCAATACCTCATCTTTTTGCAGTTGGGAAAATTAAGGCTCCGAATGCCTTTTCTGAGGCTGCGCAGCCAAGGAAYCCCACGACCTGGGTGTGGTTTTCTGCCCACTCCTCAAAGGCAACGAGGCAAGACACCAGCCAACTTCTGGAAGGTCTAGGAATCTGAATGAACTTGTTCAAAGTTGTCAATGTGGACCACACTGGTAGTGCCACAAGACCCTCCCACCTCTTCCTCCCTGTGACCATCTTGATCCTCACCTGGTCGAGGCTCAGTCCCCTTCCCACCTTAGCAAGCCCCTTCTAGGCACCTCTCACCACCTGAAGCTGGGCCAGGGAGTGCCAGCTTCTCATAACATTCCCCCAGGCCAACGACCACCAGGAAGGGTATCTTAATGCTGAATGTAAAAGGTGTAATACTTCTAAATGCCCAGGCCCCAGCAGGGCAGCTCSGAGGGAGTTTCTGGTAAGTGGCCTGCCACGATCAACTGCTTCATTGACAAGAAGTACAACTCTGCCCTTAGAATCAGCCTTCTATTCTGGGAGACATCAGCTGTGGGTAATGAGACAAGGGTCTGCCAAAGCAAATGCACTCAAGGGTCAAAGATGGCCAAGGCCCAAGGCTGCCACCCTGACTGTGCTGGACAGGGATGACATTAAGGTTGAGATATTGATGCAAAACCTCTGAAACAGCCCACATGGGTTCTGGCCCCACCTGCCAGATGTTCTTGRCATCAAACAGATGGACTTAGCGTGAGTCTGGCGGGGGTATGAGTCTGATTCTCTGTGCACTGTTCTGTCATGGGGACAGGACCCCATGTGCCACCAACGACACAAATGTCGAGTGCAAGTGCTTTGGTCCTACTAGTTTTCAGCTGGTATGTGAATAATCTATCCCAGATGATTAGCAATTAAAGTGTAACTTTCACCGGAAGCTTAGAAGATATTGAAAAATAAGAGGTGGCTAATATGCATTTACTTGAAAAGGAGTGAGTTCATACYGCACGAGTACTGAAATCGTCCTGCCCTATTGCTTGCCCTGCATTGGATCGGATTTGAACCACCATGCTCATCTGTGACCTTGGCGCCAACTGTCATTCTGCGGACTCACCTGACAGTCCTCGCAGCAGAGCCCRTGTGCGCACACAGCGTCTGGCTTCAGGGTGCAGGTGGTGGCGTTGCAGCAGCGATTTGTACATTCCTGGGGGTGGGGAATGGGATCTGTTTGACAGGGCCACACAGAGCAAAATCTCACACCAATGTCACACCCTAAAGGACTKCGAAAGAACCTGCGGGTCTAGCTTCCAACCTGCAAACCTGCCCGAGGGTCAGTGTCATCTGAAGAAAGCAAAGTTTCTGTTCTGTGTGGAACGGACTGGGTCTGCSAGCCCCTGGCAAAGTCAGGAGCACTTGGGGCCTTCAGAAGAGGTAAAGCGGCTGGGATAGGAAGGCAGGGTGGCCAGGCAGACCAAGGCTGGGCAGCAGGGCCTTGGGCCTTCAGAGCGGTCTCCACGCAGGGCTCAGTGAAATGAGCAGCAACAGGACCCTGGAGGACSGGGAAATCACTTATTCAAACACAGACAGACAGCCTTGGCTCCTCCAAAGTGAACACTTTCGTGGGRCTGGGGCTGTAGKTCAGTGGTAGAGAGCTTGCCTGGCATGTGTGAGGTCCAGCCACTGGCACCACAAAAACAAAACAGAGCAGAAACAGAACGCTTTCCTCTTGGGTGAAGTCAGATCTCGAGTTTGAGCCCCAGTTCCCTGCAGTCAAGACAGGTGGATGTGGATGAGCCCCTTCCGGCACAGGTAGGCTGTTGGCTGAAGGTGCTCTGGGAGCCAGAACTGGACATCAGAATGGCTAAGAAGCCGGAAGGAGGGCTGGGGCCAAGCACAGACTGTCGAGGGGTTTAAGCAGGTGGAATGCCAGGTGCCCTGCCCCCTCTGAAACAGAAACGAGAGAAGGGGCTCCTTTACTGCCCTGTGCTTCCCAAGTACCCATTTCCTTTCCAACAAAAGAAATATGAGRTTAACACCTTTAACGTAGTTCTCAAAAAGCCTGCATGCATTTAGCCAATTTATGAAGTCTGTGTACAGCCGAGCATTCCAATGACTGAAAGACTGTACGTTTTAGAAGAAATTATCCTAAGATGGATCGATTCATAGAATCCTCAATACTGTTTAATTTATCAATGTTCTTTTTGTCAATGTACAATATGCTCTGATGAATTTATGGACTATTGGCTAGGGTGAAGCTAACTGTATACAAGTTTAACAGTGTAATCGTTTACTCCTGAACACTGTCTTTTATGAAAAAATTATCATTGGTATCATCAATGCAATTAAAAAATTTTGTCAGCAATCAAGATTTTGGTGAGCCTGGGTACCTGAGCTATGTCCTGTGTGAAACTCTATCAATTATGCTCTCATTTGGTGTTTACCATTTGCCCCTATCATACATACTTCCCAAGTTGTTAAATTTTAAATGTTTGAGAACTTTATAAACATCCGGAATGTGTAATATATACAATAAGATAGAACTGCCAACCAGAAGTCATAGCTATAACTTTCATGCCAGCAAGGGTTTCCAGCTCGTGGACTTACAATTCTAAAAAAAAAGTTTAGCAACTTGCTTGATTTTTTCCAAAGAAGCTCATTAATTGCAATACCGATAGATGCCATCAAAGGGACAGCCACACTGTATTGCTTGTTACGGTCTAAGTGGCTCAACTGGTGATAGATCAACCAAATGAGAGAGGTCCTTAAAATTCTAAATGAAGCCAGCCATCCTAGATCTGGGTTCCCAAGTCCTTTAAGAACCCTGCCCCCTCCCCAAATCACCAAAAATATAAGCAGCCGCTCAAATGGAAATAATGGAAATGCAGCCAAGTAGAATGTCTGACTTCAAAGGGGATTGATAATGTGAGAAAGATAACTAAGTTTAAGAGAGATTCRCAAGCTCCCGGCATGCTAGCGACTCTAAACAAGGAGATAAGGTTGCCTTCCCGTCCTGCCGGCTGGAGGAGTGAGCAAGCCGTCAGGATTTCCTTCTGCGGATATGAATCCGACTCCCTGTACTGCAGGGCTGCGACAATCACTTGCCTTTTAACTACCCTGAATCCACTTCCTCTGCAGTACCATATTTCTCAGAAGAGACAGACTCTTCATGGGGYAATGCATTTTTATTTTAGTACTGCATAGAGATGCAGCAGAACCAATGAACACCAAGTCTCCAAAGAAGAAAGAATAATGGAGCCATTAGGAGGCCTCCCTCCGCATGGCCTAATTGTCATTCCACACAGAGGTGGCAGATGTGGATTCAGTCACAATGAACTGGGATACAACCGGAATGCATCTTCCTGAAATGAAACTGGGGGGGTGCTGTTTCTGGGAGTGGGGGCTCAGAGGCAAGGTCCAGCCTATGCTGTGTTGCCTACCTACGTGGCAACACACTGAGCCTTTCTGTGGGCCAGAGGATCCAGGAATACCTGCAGGGCCCGAGCACTGGGGAGCAGGAGAGAGCTCAGGTAACAGGTCTGAAAGTCCAACAGACCGAGAGCTCTAATGAGACTCAAAGTCTCCGGGTGGGGCAGTTTGGAAACTGGAAATGGGCTGCCACACTGCTGGTTGCAGCTGGAGCGACAACCTGGAAAAGCAAATCATGCAAAATTTTAAAGAACAAACCAGCAAGTGAGGCAGAAGGCTCACTGTGACTTGGACAAATTTCTTGGAGGGGAGAACATTACAGGAAGGGAAGGAGAGATCTCTTTAAAACATCAAGAGCTCACTTTACAAAATAAGGATCCCTAACCASAGAAACCCAAAGGTGGAAGTTACAGGCCAGTAGAACGTGGCTTGCCATAGGAGGAGTTTACAACCAGCTGTGATCTGGAGGGAGGGTAGGCACCCTGCCAAAGCTGCGCCGCCCTTCATGGAGACGAAGCGGATAGGAAGAGAGAGGCCAGCAGGTGTCAGGTGACATGATGGTGGTGGTGACGGCAGCTACGGAGGTGGCAGTGGYTATAGGAGTTATTGGCGGGGTGCTGGTTAGTGGGGATGTTGGTCTGGTGATGGGGATGACTGCRGAGGTGGTGATGTTGGCCGTGGTGGTGGTAGATGGAACAAAGGACTGCTAATGGGGTCATTCCAAACCTGGGAGTTTATGGCTCCATGAAGAGCCGCCATTGATAAACAATTACAAGGAGTTCAAATCAAAGACAAACCACTGTAAGTCAACATGGCCTCTCCTGAGAAATATGGGTAACTTAAGCTAATTATGTTTCCTATTTAAGTCATTTTCAAGGCTCTTTCCCTGCGCCTGCCCCATCCCAAGCTGGTTGTACGTTTTCCTTTGCTCATCTGAAGGAGTGTCTGTAACATGGTAATTAGGACTTGTTCTGACACAACAATCACTCCCGGTGCATCCCGAGCACAATTAACCACCACTGTGAACAAGCCGTTATCCTTAAGTTCCGAGTTTGACAAGGGCATGAAGGATGGCGCAAAGCCACCTCCACATGGTTGTAGAAACTGTCAGACCAAGACAGGTCCTCCTGGTATGGAAAACCCCAGAGACGGGTCATGGTAAGCCTTCTCCTACCCACTGGTTGGGTGAGGGACACAGGGACACAGGGACATGCTGGATGCTTTGGAGTCTAAGCTCGGTTTTCCTTCCCTCCTGGTCCCCTTTCAGAGCAAACTTCTGAGGCACTCTAAACCCCTCTTAGCCYATCTGCAAATTTAGCTGAGCTGGCCTTGCACCTGATGAACACTTTGGCTTGTCTACGCTCTCACGGAGGGAGGGGACCCCACAGGCAGCTGCCTGCTACACAAACTCCTTGCTTTGATTGATTCTAAACATGACCTCCTCCATGCTTTATAGGGAGGTGCTACTGTGTCCCCCCTTTCCTTCTCAGGACTCTTCAGACATTAAAAAGTGGCTGCTGGACATTTTTTTTTTTTAATGTTGATTATCTTGGGACCTAGAGAAACAAGAAAATTTCCCGAGATTGACTGGCGTTAAATGATCCCTGGGCTGGATGGAAACACTCCCGCCTTCACTCATTGCTTCTGAGAGCTAACAAGGGCCAGCGCCAGGGGCCCTGGGAGCCTCAGGCCCTGCACGCAGAGGCRGCTGCGGCAGGATTTCAACTCGAGAGCAAACTCTTGGCTAAAGAGCTCTGCTTATYCAAATTCCCCTCTAGCAGCCTGCCCTACAAAGAGGGAGAAATGGTGCTTAGTGGCTCTTTGAAGCTACAATTCCAAGGCTTTCTTCTGGGTCAAACTCAAAGCTAAAAGCTTTTTTATTGTTCTTATCCTCACCTCACTGAGGGATATGGCTCCCTTCAACAGGGAAGATTCTCTCTCTATTTAAGTCAAGTGATACAACTTATTTTGTGCAATAGTTTAAATTCAAGAAAGCCACCCTAGYGTGTGGGGCTCATTGAAGGTGGCTCTCCAGGACGTTTCCACCCCGAGYTTCCAGCACGTTCGCTCTGTTGCCCAGTCTCTCCAAGTTCTCACTTCTTTGCCCAGCGAGAACGAGGGGGAAGGTTCTGGAGACGCCCCCTTACCTCGGGCTCCCCGCAGTCACACTCCTCGCCTTCCTCCACGTATCCGTTCCCACACTTCTGCCCCCCAAAAGCCTGCTTGACCTCCGGCAGGTTGAAGAGGCACATCCCCATGCCCTTCTCCAGGCTGGCCTCCAGGTCCTTCCGGCTGCAGCTGCTGAACACCATGGGGAAGGGGAACCTGCGCGGGGGAGACCACAGTGAGCAGGGGCGCCACGCCCTTCCCGCCTTCTCCTGGGCTGCTCAGGGCGACACCACTCAGGTGTCTCGGTGAACAAAGGCTGAAGCATACAGGGTGAGAAGAGGACCTTCAGAGCATGCGACATCCGCCCCACCCCGTGCCCACGCCACCAACCAAGAAGTGCCCTGTCAAAACAGAAACGGTCCTTTGAAAGTTTTCAGTTTAGGCTGGAACCACGCAATGCAGAGCGAGTTCTCAGGATCTGGAGCTGAGAACTCCTTTGCATTTGGCAAATGCAAAGGACGGAAAGATACAAATGACTGTGCTTCTCAGGCCCATGGATCCAGGGACACATGGTCCCTCTGTAAATCATGGCCGGCTGAGATTGGCACTCAGGTCTCCAAAGGTCGAATGGTTGGCTCCCCTGGCACCTATGTAGGAGGGTGAATGCCGCCCATAGATGCAGGTCCTGCCTGTGCCTCAAGTTTTCAGGGCCATGAGTGAGTGTGGCAGAGTCAGCCGACTTCCCAGGAAAGCTATGCACCCTTGGTCTAGAGAGGCCGCCCAGGCCCCTGGCACTTGGGTGGGCGGCRTGACCGATTCTTGGCAAGGGACATGAGAAGTGGTGTGGGTCACTTTGGGTCTGTGGTATTGAGGCAAGTGTGCCTTCCCTGCAGCCTCCTCTCTCCCTGCAGTTGAGATCAGGAGAGGCAGAGCCAGATCTGGCCCCAGGTCCTGGCTTACTGCAGGGAGGGCAGTGGCAGCCTGAGCCCCAGTGTCATTTGGAAAGGCACCTCTCACCTGCAAGCCACTCAGCATTAGGGCTTGTTCCTGCGGCAGCTGGTGTTGTGGATGGGGTTCATGGTGGCCCCTGGGGGTTTCTGTGCTCAAGCTTGGTCCCAGTGTGCCGATGTTGTGAGGTGGCCTCTAATGGCAATGGCCTGGTGGTAGGCAGTTAGGTCACCTGGAGGTGCTGCCCTCAGAAGGGATTCATATGGTTTCTGAGGGACCCTGGTTAGTTCCTCCAAAAGTGAGATGTTGGGAAGAGAGCAAGCTGGGCCCTGAATCCCACTTGCTTCCTCTTTTGCCATGTCATCTCTCCCTCTTGCACATATTTCTGTCATGGTGATGCCATCTACTGTGAGGCCCTCACCAGAGTGGAACACAAGATGGCACCATGCCCTTGAACCTCCAGAGCTGCCATCTAAATAAACCTCTTTTCTTTATAAAGTAACCAGCTTCACATGTTTTGTTTTGGCAACAGAACAGGCTAATTCAGTTACATGACACACGGCACGTCAATGCTGCTCTTTTACAAATGCATTTGTCCTTGTCTTGAGGCAGTCAGGATGGAAAGGGGCAGGCATGCCAGAAACGCAGGTTTTACTACTTAGTGAGGGAGCAAGACCTGCTCTCCAGGAAGCCCAGCCTTCTCTCCCCATGGAGACATTTACAGGATGATGCTGTAATTGGATCTCAATCAATTGGCCAAACCAACACAAGTGCTCTGCTTCCCCGAGGATGGCAGACTAGCCACCAAGTGATGACGGGGCATGGCAACTTCTCGAGATCCCGATGATGCCCACAGCCGAACTGAGGACACTGCTCCAGCCCCATGTGCTTTCTATTTATCCCAGGCTTCAACCTGCAGAGTGTGATTCTAATCCACAGATAAATTAACGGGTGGAAGTCCTGCTCTGTCCAATGCAAAGGCAGTAAACCAGAATGGGCTCGTGCTGTAACGGAGTTAGCTCCCTTCGAAGGCTTTGCAACTTTCCTTGGCAGATAGATTGATGATTCCTGGTATCAAAATGATGATGAGCAGCTTCAACCAACTACAGAGTGCAGTATTTTCAATTTATAAAGTTTTGTGTTGAAGAGACCRATTACCCAGGGAACTGAGAGCAGTTCTTCCCTCTGCAAGGAAACAGGCCCAGATCAGACCTTTTCCCATATTGGAGTTTCCCCAGGACACACACACATCTCCAGGCCTGATCCGGGAGGGAGATGGAGCCTCACGCTCACTCAGTGTCATGGTGACCTGCTGTTCTGGAAGGGAAGTGATTTCCAGACAGGGTTAAAAGTCAGTTAGCAAAGACCCTGGGATAAGCCGTAAGGCCCAGGAAGAGTCTCAGTGAGGATGACAAAGGGAGGCAGGAAGCACCCCATTCCTCAGGGGGCCTAGGCAGTCCGAGCCCGGCTCAGGTGAGGCTCCGTCTCAGTGTCTTTCATGGGACACACACACGTCGATTTTGAGGGAAAGGGGTGGATATTAAAGAAATAGAAACAAATCGGATGCATGAGCTCAGTTTCAGTGCAGGGATTAAACTGCAGAGGTCCTGGGAGGACCTGAGCCACCAGCGGGAGCACCCTTGTCTGTGATGCTAAATTCCCGTTTCCTTGGCTTTTTCTGATTCTGTTGAAGGACAAACCCCAAGTGCTTACACAGTTCTCTGTCGTTTAGAATCACCGGTGAACACTACCTGCCCCGTGCACAGGGTTCTGGTTGTGCTCCGAGGAAGGACTTTCAGGTACCAGTTCCCTGAGGTGTTTTAACAAGGTGGCAGCACCCTCCTCTGATGCCGAGGAAGTTGAGAGGGCCCTGCCCTTGGGATCCTCGATCAGGGTTGCTCACCTGCAGCACAGAGCAGGCCCACACCAGAGGGTCCCTGGGCGTTCACAGACGCACAGTGGGCCCAAGATCAAGGCGATTCCTCCTCCCTCCAACCAGGAGCCTGGCTGACTCTCTCAAGGAGTCCTGCCCTCCCTGGCCTGGGCCCAGCAGGGCTCCATCACTGCACCTCCCCGAGGCAGGCAGAAGCCACGGCCAGCGTCTGAAGACCAGTGCTTTTCTTTCTCCTTTGGTGGTGCTGGGGACGGAACCTGGGGCTTTGTGCGTCCCACGCAAACCCCTCACTGAGCCTAACTGCAGCCCCCGAGTGCTCTTTGGAAGACAGATGGTGATCAGACCAAGGAGCACTTTCTGCCACAGATAACCTGCTGGCTCTGTCCTGTTGCGGTTCCTCCCCAGGGAGGGAGGCAGGCAGCCTTCTCTCATAGAACATCCCTCAACCTTCCTTGGACTTGGGGAAGTCAGGGTTTGGAGGAGGAAAAGCAGAGCACCTCCCGCTCATCCTCCCACGGTGGTGCGAGTGTGAATTCAACACACAGCCTACCAACCCCAGGTGTGGAGCGTGCACGTGCCCCGGGGGTGGGCGGGATGAGCAGGGTAAGGAAGAGGAGTCAGTGGGTCAGAGAGGGAAGGACTGAGGGGAAGAATACGACAGCAAGGAGGAGAGGATGTGCGCAGGAGGGTGGGTCCCACCACAGAACCCCCCTGGGAAACCTCCCTGGGGAGCACACACATCTGAGCCTCTCATGCCAAGGACAAGAGGAGGAAGCTGCTGACACACTGGGGAAGAGCCAGCACCAAGGGCCGTGCCGGGACGTGCCTGTCCTGGAGAGTTATCCAACAGCGGGAAGGAGGCTCTTCTTGCAAAACCACACTCAGAGAGGAGCCCGAGTGAGGTGGTGTCGTTGGAGGTTAGGAGCAAGGCCCAGCGGTGGCAGGACGGCACCTGGGTGTCATTAAACAGGGAGTCTTGCCTGGCCTGGGTAGGAGCAGACACTGCCACAAGTGAAGGTCGCTCTGAAGGGCTCCGAGCCCTTATTCCTGCTTCTTAGCCAGTATTTTTGAACTATGAGCCAAAGGCCTCGCCCTTCTGCTCCTCACCCTTCTGTGCCCTGAAGCATCCTTACTGGATTGACGCTCAGCACTGAGAAAGTCTCAAAAACTTACTGCTGGCCGGATGACCCCCCATGCATGGAATTTAATAATCTAAAGTAATTTCAGGTCTCAAGAGAAGAACTTAATAGCACCAAATATTAGCTTGTCCTCATTACAATCCTGTCCTGAGCTACACTGACCACAATATCCCTCACATCCCAAAAAGCCATTGGACCTACTGTGTGGGGCCCATAGGAGCCAAGGACTCGGGCTCAGGTGACCTTTGTCAGTGGGTTTGTGTGAATGACGGGCCAGCTGAACACGAGTCCCGTGGTCCCAAACACCCTATTGCTGTGACTGCCAATGATCACTGTCACTCCAGCTCGGCCACACCAGGGGGATCTCGGAGAAGACACTTGGCAAGCCAAGGGTAGTATCCTGCTTCCTAGTCGGCTGCCTTTGGCCTCTCTAGGACGGCAGGGTCAGCCGACTTGGGTGGTATGGTGGCATCTCTCTCCTTCCTCCCCTCACTCACTCATTCACTCACCAAGAAAGTGTTGTTCAGGGGTCCATAGTCCAAGCTCTGAGGAGCCGATATGGCCTGAGTGTGGCCCACTGTCCCTGCAGCAGGTCCGGGCCCAGCCCCTTCCCTGTCCATCCCACGCTCCAAGACCCTTAAGATCTCTCTCCTCCAGAATGGTCCTTGAGATGCCGAGTGCTCAGGCTCACTAGTCTTCAGGCCACATAAGTGGAGTCCGCTGGCTTCCCATGGCTTCTCGTTCTTTTCCCCATCATAGTTTTCCTATCACAGTTGAGAGATTCCCAAGATCAGCAATTGAGCAAAAAATTACATTTTAGTGTAACTGTTGAGCCCTGCTCTGAAGCAGGCAGTAGGGTGGTGCTTTTCCATAGTCATACTTTTCTTCTTTATATTTTTTAAACTTTCAAAATAATCCAGTGAGACAGGCCTCCTTATCCCCACGTGTGTGTAAAGGGCTTTAAGAGTTCATGGTCAGGGGATGGTGGACACTAGATTGAATCAAGGATTTTGGCTCCAAATTCACTGATGAAAAACCATTCTCTTTATTCCGGATGTCAGGTCAGCACTGGATGGCCTTTCAGGAACTGCAGAACCGTGGAAGGAGATCAGCACCCTCTGGACTTAGGTGCGGATACAGGGAACACTCTGTCATGACCTAGCACATGCCCCGGCCAGGTTCCCACTGTGTCCCAGACCAGCAGCACCAGCGACTTCTACAGATAGAAATCCCCA